TCCTGCTCTTGCTGACCCGGAGTCTGACTCTCTTCGTGCTGCCCGTCCTACTGTCACGCGTCTCCTTGCCACTGCTGTCACTGACCCTTCCTTTGAGTCCTCTGCTGCGTCTTCTCTAGTCGCTGAGCTTGTTGACTTTGCTGCTGCCTGTCGTCTAGACTACGCCGCTAGCCTTGTTGCTGAGTCTGAGTCTGAGTCTGTCTGTCCTCCGTCTGTCGGGGGTGAGTGTGCTCTTGGCACGGACGTCCTTGAGGACAGACAGGAGGAGTTTGAGTGCTTTGCCGCTGCTTTGCCTCATCTCGTGTCCATGCTAGTTGCCCCTGAGGGAGACCCGGATGCACCAGACATCCCGACCCCACGCTCCTACGCAGAGGCGATGGAGGGTCCCTACTCCTCTCAGTGGCAGACAGCCATGGACGCAGAGATGGCTTCCTGGAAGTCCACAGGCACCTACGTCGACGAGGTTCCCCCACCTGGGGCGAACATCGTCAGTGGCATGTGGATTTTCAGGGTGAAGCGGCCGCCGGGTTCTCCGCCTGTCTTCAAGGCGCGTTACGTTGCACGAGGCTTCAGTCAGCGAGAGGGAGTTGACTTCTTCCAGACCTTCTCCCCGACCCCGAAGATGACCACTCTTCGGGTTCTGCTGCACGTCGCTGCTCAGCGTGACTACGAGCTCCACTCTCTTGACTTCAGCACTGCGTTCTTACAGGGCAGCCTGCACGAGGAGATCTGGCTGCGCCGCCCACCTGGCTTCACTGGGTCGTTCCCTCCTGGTACCCAGTGGAGCCTCCGGCGGCCAGTCTACGGTCTCCGCCAGGCACCCCGTGAGTGGCACGACACACTGAGGACTACTCTTGCTGCTCTTGGGTTTGCTCCTTCTACTGCTGACCCGTCGCTGTTTCTACGCACCGACACCACTCTGCCGCCGTTCTACGTTCTTGTTTACGTAGACGACTTGGTCTTTGGTACTGCTGACACTGAGGCACTCGCCCACGTGAAGTCGGAGCTGCAGAAGAGACACACGTGCACAGACCTGGGTGAGCTGACAAGCTATCTTGGCTTGCGGATCACCCGGGACAGAGCACAGCGCACCATCACCTTGACTCAGTCACACATGGTGCAGCAGGTCCTTCAGCGCTTCCGCTTCACGTACTCCTCGCCTCAGCCCACTCCTCTGCCTACCGGTCACTCGCTCTCAGCTCTGCCTTCGGATGAGTCCGTAGAGCCGAGTGGCCCGTATCCAGAGCTTGTGGGCTGCCTCATGTACCTGATGACCTGCACTCGACCTGACCTGGCATACCCTCTTAGCATCCTAGCACGCTATGTCGCTCCCGGCCGTCACCGGAAGGAGCACATGGATGCCGCTAAGTGGGTGTTGCGCTACTTGTGCAGTACGTCGGGCATGGGGCTCGTGCTTGGAGTTCGGAGCGACGTTGTCCTCACGGGTCACTCAGACGCTTCTTGGGCTGACGACCAGGCTACGCAGCGGTCGTCTCAGGGTTACACCTTCAGCCTTGGCTCTGGTTCAGTTTCTTGGCGTTCTACTCGCTCTTCTTCTGTTCTCAGCTCCAGTTGTGAGGCTGAGATCTACGCCACAGCCATGGCTGCACAGGAGTTATGCTGGCTCACCTACCTGCTGACCGACCTGGGAGAGCGGCCTCGTTCTCCTCCAGTGCTGTACGTTGACAACAAGGCCGCCATTGCCTTGTGTGAGGAGCACAGACTGGAGCACAGGACGAAGCACATCGCTCTGCGCTACTTCCTTGCTCGAGAGCTGCAGCAGCGTGGTCAGCTTCGTCTGCGTTACGTGGCCACTCGGGCCAACACTGCTGATGTGTTCACCAAGGCGCTTCAGCCTTGTGACCATCAGCGTTTCTGTACTGTTCTAGGCCTTGTGCCTACTCTCCCTCACTTGCTCACTTCTTGACTCTGCTTGTACTGTGATCTCTATATACATATACCTGCATGTTTACTCTTGTTAGGTTGTGATCACTGTACCTCTTGTTATATTATCAAACTGCATGTGAACTGGTCTTGTGACCACTTGCTTGTGCTCGGAATTTGTGTGGTTTCCTTGAGATCCACCCTGAGCTTGCTTTGCTTTGCTTTGACTGGTCTTGTGACCATCTGGTTGTCTCCCACTTAGCCTATGGGGGTGTGTCAAACATTATACATGTTCATATTGTGTAGGCTATAGTGGGTTTAGCCTTAGGGGGTACAACATTGCTAGGGTTTCCTACTTGTATCACCCTGCTGCCTAGTTTCACACATTCTCGTTCAGTTCTACATTCTAACACCTCTGTCCCAGCGCCATCCACATCCTTAGAGGCGCCTCAGAACTACTTCCTCTGTCCCAGCGCCATCCACATCCTTAGAGGCGCCTCAGAACTACTTCCTCTGTCCCAGCGCCATCCACATCCTTAGAGGCGCCTCAGAACTACTTCCTCTGTCCCAGCGCCATCCACATCCTTAGAGGCGCCTCAGAACTACTTCCTCTGTCCCAGCGCCATCCACATCCTTAGAGGCGCCTCAGAACTACTTCCTCTGTCCCAGCGCCATCCACATCCTTAGAGGCGCCTCAGAACTACTTCCTCTGTCCCAGCGCCATCCACATCCTTAGAGGCGCCTCAGAACTACTTCCTCTGTCCCAGCGCCATCCACATCCTTAGAGGCGCCTCAGAACTACTTCCTCTGTCCCAGCGCCATCCACATCCTTAGAGGCGCCTCAGAACTACTTCCTCTGTCCCAGCGCCATCCACATCCTTAGAGGCGCCTCAGAACTACTTCCTCTGTCCCAGCGCCATCCACATCCTTAGAGGCGCCTCAGAACTACTTCCTCTGTCCCAGCGCCATCCACATCCTTAGAGGCGCCTCAGAACTACTTCCTCTGTCCCAGCGCCATCCACATCCTTAGAGGCGCCTCAGAACTACTTCCTCTGTCCCAGCGCCATCCACATCCTTAGAGGCGCCTCAGAACTACTTCCTCTGTCCCAGCGCCATCCACATCCTTAGAGGCGCCTCAGAACTACTTCCTCTGTCCCAGCGCCATCCACATCCTTAGAGGCGCCTCAGAACTACTTCCTCTGTCCCAGCGCCATCCACATCCTTAGAGGCGCCTCAGAACTACTTCCTCTGTCCCAGCGCCATCCACATCCTTAGAGGCGCCTCAGAACTACTTCCTCTGTCCCAGCGCCATCCACATCCTTAGAGGCGCCTCAGAACTACTTCCTCTGTCCCAGCGCCATCCACATCCTTAGAGGCGCCTCAGAACTACTTCCTCTGTCCCAGCGCCATCCACATCCGAGTGAACGTGTCCCCTATCCCGCTTCAAACCCTTGGTTTCATGCAATCTTTTTTGCTCTACGCTCACGGCCGTCCCACACCCCTGCCTTACGTGCCTTTCATATGCCCGCAGTGCGGCTGTTGCTGCTGCAGACTTAACCATTCAGCGGTCAACTCAACGCCCTCCTCCCCTCCCTCTCCATCTTCCCTTTCTGCCCGTTCGCCCCCCCCTATCTCGCTGCTCATCCACATTCCCACGTGGCCCCTCCCCGCGAGCCCCTGGCAGCGCTGGTGCTGGAGGAGTGCAGCACAGCATGGGGATATTTGGCGTACGGGTGGTGGGTGGGGGGCGACTGTGACACGGCAATTAACATTTTCTGTGACACCAACGGGCTCGTCACTAGCATGTGCGGCAACAGGGTGGGAAGGAGGGGCGGGGAAGAGTGGACGTCGAAGGAGGGAGGGAGGAGGGAGGGAATGGGGGAGGGAGGGGGGTGATTGAGGGAAGGGGGGAGGGTTATGGAGGGAATGGGGGGACAGCATGGTGGTTGTAATGGCAATGGACGATGGGGCGGGGGAGAAAGTTCGGTGGGCTACAGAAGCCACTGACATGCTGTCAATGTGCTGTGACTATGCTTCACTCTTCTGCTGCTTCTGTGCGTGTGTGCGTGCGTGCGTGTGCGCGTGCGTGCGTGTGCGCGTGCGCGTGCGTGTGCGTGTGCGTGTGCGTGTGTGTGCATGTGTGCTTGTGTGCATGTGTGCATGTGTGCATGTGCATGTGTGCATGTGTGCATGTGTGCATGTGTGCATGTGTGCATGTGCGGCCTCAACACAACACAACAGGTGGCTGCAAGGCGCAGGTCTACATAGCTCAATCTCAACAGCTCTTGGCACTCTCACCTCTCTCACCGCTCTGTATGCCTGTCTGACCGCTCTGTACACCTGTCTCACCGCTCTGTACGCCTGTCTGACCGCTCTGTATGCCTGTGTCACTGCTCTGTATGGCCTCCTGACCATCTGCTTCGTCGTAGTTGTCGTGTCTCAAACCATCCTCACTTGCTGCCCTTTTCCATCCTCTTTGAGCTTGGCTACAACCTGTGCTGCATGCAACCTGTGCTGCATGCAACCTGTGCTTGCGTGCTTGCTTTCCAGGCGCCTCATCAGCCTGATCCACCCAACCCCTCCCCCCTCTACCTCCCTCCCCACATCCTCACCCGCGTTACTCATTCTGTTCCTTTGCTTGCTTTGCTGCAACGCGCACAGAGGCCTGACCTTCAATGCCCTGGAAGGCTCCATTCCTGAATCCTTCAGCGCGCTCACTTCGCTCGCCGTCCTGTGAGAAGCAGGGTGACACATGAAGGGAGGGAGGAAGAGAGGGCGGGAGGGAGGGAGAGAGAGGGGCTATTAGAGAGAGGGGGAGTGAGGGAGAAGAGAAAGTTTAAGATCAAAGGTGCGTTCAGAACAGTGTGTGCTCAATCCTCTCACAAATTGCCCCTGGCATTGCGTCGGTCTCTTCCGCACCTCATGTGCGTGCATTCATGCGGTGTGGTATTTGCCCTTGTTTGACCTGGTACTCTGGTGGTGACCCTCAGTGGTTCTATGTGGTGCACTGCAGTGCACATCTGTTTCGCGGGGTGACTATCTCCGTCCCACTCTTCTGCACTCCTCACCTCTGCCTGCACTGCACCCAGTGCAGTAGCTCACTTCCGCTTTCGATCATGCTTCGGTTTCGATTCCCGTCTGTTCCTACCTCCCCTCTCTCAAGCAGTCCTTGCCTCTTCCTCCTTCTCATTCTCTCCCTCTCTCCCTCCCTCCCTCCCTCCCTCTCTCCTTCCCTCCCTCTCCCCCTCCCTCCCTCTCTTGCTCTCTCCCTCTCTTCCTCTCTCCCTCTCTTCCTCTCTCCCTCTCTCCCCCTCTTCCTCTCTCCCTCTCTTCCTCTCTCCCTCTCTTCCTCTGCTCCTCTCTCCCTCTCTCCCTCTCTTCCTCTCTCCCTCTCTTCCTCTCTTCGTTTCTCCCTCTCTCCCTCTATCCCGCTACCATCTCTCGCTGACTCAATGGCAGCGATTTGCAGTCTAACATGCTGAAAGAGTCCATTCCGGATGCCATCTCACACATGACTGCTCTCAAAGTCCTGTGCGTGCACCACTCCAATCGTACCTCACATCATCCTTGCATGCTTTGTGAACATCCACATGCGCATGCACATGCGCATGCACATGCACATGCACATGCACGTGCACTGCGCATGCTCCCATGTGTCATCTCGCATCTTCTCACATCACAACATCACCTCCTATTGCTCATGACTCATGGCATGAGTGCTTACATGCTCTCATGGTTATTTCGGTCCCTCTGCGTGCTCTCACCATGCTTCTCCATGTGCCTTCACGGTCCACCCCATCAGCTTTCAGTGCTCCACATCCTGCTTTCTCTCCCATACCTTAACCCTATGCCTCCACCCCGTGGCATGCCTCCCTCCCATGCCTCCCTCCATGCGATCACCATAACCCCACATGCATTTGTCAATGCCGCCACACCCCTCCATCTCCCATGGCCCGCATGTCCCCATCGCAGCCGGCTCGGCAACAACCAGCTGTCTGGTGCTATTCCTCCCCACATAGGCACTCTCACGGCCCTCCGAGAGCTGTGAGTGTGCCAGTCATTGCCAACCAAGCAGCCATAGACGACCAAGAAACCCATAGACTTTGCTGCGTGGAAGGGCACTGGTGGCTTCTGTTCCGCCTGCCCTAGGGCCTGACCCTCAAGGTGTATAACGATCAGGTTGGATCCACTTGTGGATTTCATGCTCTTGTCTTCTCCTTCTCTCGTCCACTCCTTCCCGCATCGCATGTTGTCTCCCTGTGCGAACATGTGTTCACTCACTCACCCTTGCAGCCACCTCACGGGCAACATGCTCACAGGCAGCATTCCCGCTGGAATGGGTAGCTTGGTGATGCTCCAGTACCTGTCAGTGCCATGCCATATGACCCTCTCACCCACTCCCAGTGCCTCCCAGTGACTTTCACACACGCTTTGAGACTTCAAAACTTTTGAGGCGACTCAACGCTGTTAATGTTAGCCCTCAATCTCACACTTTGTACTTTGTACTTTGTATTTTCTATATCCTAGAGTAGTGTAGTTTGCACTTTGTGTTTGGTTGGGTATACACCTACATCCCAACCAAACCCAAAAGTAATCTCCAAGCAATCTCCAACCCACCAATTGGAGATTGCCTTGGGATTACCCCCAATCCCTAGGGATTGCCCCCGATTCCCTTTCCCATCCATTCCCTACCCTTCTTGGATGTACTTAAAGAGCTTCATGCTCATTACTAATGTATCAGTTCTAAGCCTAAGTTCTGACATGGTATCAGAGCTCTTCAACCGCACACGCGGATCGTGATCCTCTCATCTTTGCGGATGCTCGTCCCGCAAACCTCGGCGTAGCCACCTTCAATCTTGTCGCCGGTGATTCGCGACATTCGTGGGCGGAAATTCTCCCGCACCACCTTCCCGTCAATTTCGACGACATCTACCTTATTTCTGGTAAGCGCATCGTCAGCGCCGTAACCTATCGCTCCTTTTTCGTCGAACGCATCTTGTTATCTCTTCTCCTCGTCGGGCCGTCGCCCGTCGCCCCGCAGCTTCTCGTCGGGCCGCCGCCCGTCGCCCCGCAGCTTCTCGTCGGGCCGTCGCCCGTCGCCCTGCAGCGTCACGTCGGGCCGACGCCCGTCGCCCTGCAGCGTCACCTTCGGGCTGCCGCCCGTCGCCCCGCATCTGCACTTCTACCCCCATCCCCCCCTTCCCGCAGCTGAACAGGTGCAGCAGCGCAGCCGAGCAGCCGTGTAGCCGCGAAGCTGAGGGTGGTGTGTGGGGGGGTGTGTGGGAATAGGATTAGCAGGTAGTTGACACTAAACTGGCGTTTCCGTCAAATTCTCCTTCGGAAACCCTAAACCTCAAGTTCCTATCGGTGACTTAAGAGGGACGATTCGCGCGAGACACCAAGGGGCCTTCATTATGGCCTTCACCTCGTCCACCATGGCCAACCCCATCACCCCACTCCGCCTTGAAGCCGATGGCTCTAGCTCCAACTTCAAAGCTTGGAGCTATGGGGTTGACAAGCACCTCCTGAGTCGTGACGTGCAGGGATTGGACCTCAAGGATGTCCTCCTCAACCGTGGCAAGGGAAAACAGCCCCCTCCCCCCGTTGAGCCGACTGAATCCGCTAGTGATACTGACATGAGGGCGTACGAGGAAGCCGTTGAAAAGTACCGGAAATGGGAGAAGGCCGATGCTGCTATCATCGGCGTCTTCATCGCCTCCACCCCTCCCGAACTTGTCAACACGTTCCACAACTACCCTACCTCCAACCCATCTGGAAGTATCTCCAGGATCGGTTCATGAACAAGACGGCGGTCGGAGTTGCCATTCTCATCCCCAGCATGTTTCAGATCCGACTTGAGGACTGCTCGGGAATGGCCGACTACATTGCCAAGGTGCAGACCATTCATGGCGAACTCAAGGAGCTGGGTATAGTCTTCCCCGAACAAGCCCCAGCAGCAGCCCTTCTTGTTGGTCTCACCTCGGCATATGAAGTCACGAGAAAGATGCTCCTCTCGCTCTCTGCGGAAGACCTCACCTTTGCTAAGGTCTCCACCGCACTCCTCTCTGCCGAGAAAGACTCCACGGCTCAGGCCAAGGCTTACGCCATCCGCGCTCCCATGCCCCAAGCACGTGTCGCAGCGGCCCTCGCCTCGGCGCCCTTCCAGCGCAACCGCTTCCCTCCGTGCACCTACGTCGTCAAGTATGGCAACCGCAAGGGACAAGTGTGTGGTGGCACTAACCACCCCCTTGCGACGTGCTTCAAGAAGAAAGACGACGAATGGTACGCCGTCCACGGAGTAGACAAGAAGCCGCCAAATTGGATGCGCCCTCGTAAGGCAAACCTAGTTGAGGTCCAGGACCCCGCTTCGGCTAGTGCTAGTGATAATGTTCCTGCTGATGTGCGTATCAACCTCTTGTTCCCTGGCATTGCCATGATTAATGAAGCTACCCCTCAGTACATCGGCTCATCACAAGCACCACAATACATAGAGTTCACACTCGACAGCGGGGCCACTCACACTGTGCTCAAGGAGACACTCTCCTTCAAACCCTACGCAACACCCATTCCTCTCTTGGGAGCTGACTCAAGCTTCACCACTCTTGCCAAGGGTACATCCACAGTCCCGTGCCCCGCCTTCCCATCCGGCACTGTCACTGGCATGTGCGTGACCTCACTACGCCACAATCTAGTGGCTCAAACGGAAATTCAGGACGCAGGGCTACGCACCATCTTCTCGGAGAACGAGGACTATTGCGACATCATCGATCCACTCACCAACAAGATCTTGGCCCGCTTCACCCTCAATAGCAGCGGCCTCTACACGCTACGCGTCCCTCTTCCACAGGTGTCAACCACCCAAGCACAGGCTCCTATCACACCATGCTCATGTCGCAGCCTCTCCAACCCGACCATCCTTTACCACCATCGGCTCGGGCACCCAAACTTCCGCACGCTTGCTGACATGGCCTCCAAGAAACTTCTTCTCGGCCTGCCAGCCGCACTTCCTCCACCACCTGACTCACCCGCTCCCACGTGCCTTGATTGCACCAAGAGCAAACTGCGCCAACAGCCCCATCCTGCCTCACCCACAGTCGCAGCAGCACCACTTGACCTAGTGCACATGGACGTATGGGGCCCTGCCCCTGTTCCCGCACGAGGTGGCCATCGTTACTTGCTTGCTATCGGGGATGACGACTCCCGCTACGTCTCTGTTCACCTCCTCCACACCAAGGCTGAGGTTCCTGAGGTCATCATGGCGTGGGTCAAGCAGGCACAGACCACCTTTGACCGCAAGGTCAAGCGCCTTCACTCGGATGGGGGGGGTGAATTTTGCAACGACAAGCTCAAAGCCTTCTGCTCCTCAGAAGGCATCCAGCAAAACTTCACCCTTCCTGACAGCCCGCAGCAGAACGGCATAGCAGAGAGCCGCAACCACACCCTGGTGCAGATCACTCGGTGCCTCCTCAGCCATTCTAACGCTCCACTCTCCCTCTGGGGGTACGCCCTCTACCATGCCGCCCTCCTCTATAATCTTTACCCCCACCCGCATCTTCCCGACACCACTCCAACCACACTTTGGCTCGGGAAAACACCCACTGCCTGCTCTCTCCGCCTCTGGGGGTGCACCGCCTATGTCCTCCTCAACCCTCAGGCTCGGCGGCAGCGCGGTGGCAACTCGGTCCCAAGACTCAAACGTGCATCTACCTTGGGCACAACGCCGACTCCCCTGACTATCTCTTCCTCAACCCCTCCACTCGACAGTTAGTCCGGAGCCGTGACGTTGTCTTTGATGAAACCCGCCCATTCTACTCCACTTCGGGACCGGATCCTCTCTCCGATCCACCCTCTCTCGTGTGGGCGGACTTTGATGCGCCCCCTAACTCCCGCCTGCACCAGCCCCCTCACCTCCTCCCTCTCCTGCCATCGCACCTTCCCCCTCTGAGGTCTCTGATCCGACCTCCCCGGTGTCTTCGGCATCCGCTCCTCCATCCCCCTCACCTCCCACTCCGCCAACTGCGCCGCCACCTCCGAGCGCACCTATCACATACCATCGGCGGTCACACCCTCCGGCCCCGCATCCTCCCCCAGTCCCCCCTTCCACTGAGGAACCCGCTCCCCCACGGTCGCCCGAGCTGATCACGTACAAGCGGCGGCTGATTCCCCCGCCCAAGCCTCCTAAATCAGCCCCTCCGACATTGCCTGCCCCACCCTCTTCTCCGGTGGCTCATGGCACTCGTTCGCATGGCGCTGCGCTTCCACTGGCACTTATTCTTCGATACACAGCGATCACTCCGCCTCCTCCTGCTGGGGGGGATGTGCCCTCTACCCTTCTGGAAGACAGGCATGAGGAGCTGTGTGATCTTCACGCAGTCATTCCTCAGCTCTCGCACATCTTCCCCGACATCACTGAATCACCCTCACTCAACTTCACGGAGAATCCGACCATCCCTATCCCTCTCACCGTCCAAGAGGCTCTCTCGGGTCCTCATGCAGCCGAATGGCGTGCTGCCATGGAAGCTGAGATTGAAGCATTCACCCGCAACCACTCCTTTGACGACGAGACTCCCCCTCCAGGAGTCAACATCGTCGGGGGCAAGTGGTTGTTTCGTGTGAAACAGCTCCCAGACGAGGCCCCGGTGTTCAAAGCGCGTTACGTAGCCAAGGGTCTCACCCAGCAGCAGTACCACGACTTCTTCAAGACCTTCTCCCCCACATCCAAACCTCCCACTATTCGCACGCTCATGGATGTCGCTGCACGAGAAGACTTTGAGATCAAATCCATGGACGCCTCATCAGCTTTCCTACAAGGACGCCTCAAGGAGACAGTGTTCATGGACAGACCTGAAGGCTTCCCAGGAGAATTCCCTCCCAACACTGTCTGGAAGCTGAATCGCCCCGTCTACGGCCTCAATCAAGCCCCTCGCGAATGGCAAAACAAGGTGAAAGAAGTCCTTCTCTCCCTGGACTTCCACCCATCATCTGCTGACCCGACTCTCTTCATTCGCCGTCATTCTGAGCCGTTCTACATCCTTGTCTACGTCGATG